CTTCCTTGAATAAGACGCCCTTCAATTTTTAGGGTAAGGATTTTAGAAAAAAGTATCGTCTTACAGTCGGAAAAATACAGTAAGTAAATTTTCTGCCAATCATGAATAAAACTTTGATTAGCATGTTCCACTATAATTTAATCCCTATTCTGCTTAAGTTGTTATACTAGGCCTAACTATACCATAGTTTAGCAGGTAGTTCAGACCAGGTCATCTAATTACGAATGAATGAATGACATTAAAGATCATCTAGTTCAACTTCCTGCCCAGCATCTGTCAGATGGCCATTCAAACTCTATGTAAATACCCCTAGCCAAGAAAACTTATATGCCTGGTTGGTTGGTGCAGTAACATTAAATAAGCAGATTTCTGCATGTAATATGGCTTGTGTCCCTCTTCTGGAAAAGAATATAAAGTTTTCTGAATTTATTGGGGTGATCACTTACTCATGCAGCTTGGTTTGAAATTACTTGAGTACTATGTATGACTAAACAGATGGTCCTTAGATCTACTTTATAGTTAAGCATTGATCAGACACCTTAAACTCGGGTATGATTATCTGATTAAATGATCACATAGAAGAAATACGCTGTCTTTAAATGTAGGTATCTGTACAAGAAGAGATAATAGGATAACGTAATAAAGTGGATAATATGCCAAGCAGCACTGAAGCAGTTAGATAAGCCTCATTGTACTTATGACAATTTTGAATAGCAACTGCTAGCAAATTAAAGACTACGGCTTTGTAAGCAGCTGAGCATTTTTATAATAGAACTGCAGAATTAGAAGAGACTTGAGAAATAATCTCACCCAATCTCAGGCACAATGTACAAACCTAGCAACTACAACTTCACTGATGGATACCTACCCAACCTCTACTTAAATGCCAAAATAATCCACTCTTTTGACAAACAATTCTTACACTCTGGAAGTTTTCACTAATGTTTAGCTGGAATCTGCTTCCTGGTGAACAAGCTTGCTCCATCTTTTATATACACTAACAATTCTTCATGTATTTAAAAGCAACAGTATCTTCCCTTAATCTCTTCTTCAAGCTAAATTTACCCAGTTTCATGAGGAACAGTTGAGAGATCTTCCCAACATTTTCTTGGTCTTTAAGTTTTGTCAGTAATCTTTGTAAAATGTGAAGTTCATGCAGGCAGGAATTCCTCCAAATATATATGGCAATAGCAAGGATTAAACCTGGGACGTGGGGCATGCAAACATGCTTTAACTTGGAGTTAGCACATTTTCTTAATGGTATGTTTTGTAGATGTTTGTTTCAAAATAATTATAAATCTCATGAGGTCTCAGATTAACTTTGCAGACTAAATATATTTTTAAAATGGGGGAGATTAAGGCAAAACAGTACTTGCACATATATTTAATTTCAAACTAACCACCAATTAACTTAATTTTAAAACATTATATGCCACTCTCTTTTTTATTCCTTTTTTTGGAAGACTCATCTTCTGATTAGGAAAACATGTAATTTTATTCCTATTTACTAAAGATAGGACTGTAATATATGGATTAATCTCCAATTAATTATATTGTAACTATCTGAATAATCTTTGACATTTTTTCTGAAATGGGCAACATGTTCAATTTCCTTTTTTCAATATCAACTTTCTTCTTTTCCTTTATAGTATCATGTTAAACCTGTTGATCTAGAACAAATAGACAAATGAAGATGTGTTTTGGGGTGGATGGAGAAAACAATCACTGATCTTCTATATCAGAGTTCAGGACATTATTGGTCATTTAAGTCAGCTATCAAATCTGGCCTAATCAAAGTAATTTGAATGCACTGTTGGTCCATTACAACAACAACAAAATGAGTTTTCTAAGTTGTTCTGAGGGATGGATCTATACTGTAGAATTAAACAAAATTGCAAAGCTATAAAGGAAAATTCTTCCATTATTTTGAGGGAAATGACAAAATGGTATCAACCTTTTTGAAGTGGGGAGCACTGTGTAAATGAAGACCAAAGCCTTCTCGGTTGCACCCATGTCCTCTGGAATGGCATCCCCCTGGAGTTATGTATCCTGGAAGACCCTTAAGACCTGGCTCTGTTCTTAGGCGTAGGGTTAGGGTGTCTGTGGAGCCCCTGTTGAGTCTATTTTCTGAATGTTGGGACTGCTGTTTTAGTCCAGGCAATCATGTTGTTTTAGTTTTGTTTTTTTAAACTCATGTATATATCATAAGCCACTCATTAGACTTTTGGAGTTGGTTGGTGGCCTTAAAAAATAAAATAATAAAATAAAATCATAATGTGCTTCGCATCGTTTTGTATTAGGTTTTGCAACTCTCTACAGTAGACACTGTTTTGTCCCTTTGTCATCCCTCCAGCCTGTATACAGGATATTCTAAAATAACAGGTGAAGAATCTGAGGGCCACCAGATTATGCTAGACTTACATGAAGCCCTAAGTACCTCCTTTAACCTTTATCCATTAATTCTTTCATCAGTTTCATACTACAGTAATTGCAAGCTTAATTTCCTTTTGGGCTTCCCTTTTAGAGTATTTACTGATTGTAAACAAAACAAGGCTCCAAGCGCTCTCCAGAGTGCTGATTGCTTTGGCAGTGCAATCAAATATCTTTGAAGCTTATCAGAGCACTTAATTGCCATGAATGGTGTAAAGAAAGTGGGCATTCCAAGTGGTGGCAGTAATCATTTTATTGAATTGTACATAAAGAAGCCTGCAATGTTTTTAACTATTGGGTAGCATTTTCTTAATTAGAAATGGTAGTTTATTTAACAGGATCACTATTAGGTTTTAAAGGGCTTTTGTGATACTTTATCCACCATGTGATGTGTCCAGTTTGATGCATGTGGTTGCAAATACTTGATATTTTCTGGATCTGGCCAAGTGCATGTATTAATCAACTATGATAGATCAGATATTGCTGCTTGAATTTTTATTACCACATAATATCCCGAACATACCTTCTTAAAAAGGCAGTTGTGAATTAAAGACATATGAATAACCCTGTTAGATCTAAGAACCTATACATAATTAGATCACAAGCATGAAGAGGAAAGCTATAATCTCCTTTTGCTCTCCAGCACTTGATGTACAAATGCCAACAGTTTTGGAAGCAGCAAATAGCTATCAATGCTAGAAGCCATTAATCATATACTTGTTCATGAATTCATTCAGTTTCCTTTTCAAATAGTCTAAATTGATAGTTATCACTGCATTTGATGGTGGCACATTCCAAGTTTATATATTATGTAAAGAAGTCGTACCTTTTATCAATTATTAATCTCTGACATTTTGTATACTTCTATTATAAAACCAAACATAGGTTCTCTTCCCCTAACAATAGTAGAAGTTGAATGCATCCATTAAAATTAAATGTGTACAGATTCAGTTTTAACAGGAAGGAAAGAAAGAAAAGGAAATACAAGATTTCCTCTTACTTATCTTTCTTCATGTTGAAAGTTGTACCCTTTATTTCTCAGTGTATACAGCATATTGTTCCAATTCAGAATTCTAAGTGACATACCCACATACAGTAGATTAAAAAAAAAAGTATACAAGGAAAAAGCACTAGCATCCTAATAATTTTGATCAATAATTAGCTCTATAATATCCTTTTTCAGATGTAGTACTCAAAACTAACCACAGTATTCTAGATAAGGGCTCACTGCACATTTATATAAGGGTATTATTTACACTGTTTTATTTTCAGTTCTGTTTCTAATGAGTCCAAGCACAGAATTTGCCATTTAACAGCAAATAGTTGGCTGGTTTAATCACTATGACTTAATGGCTAAAAGAAATGTGAAAAATTAAATCTTCATTTTTGTTCTCTCCACTCTCCCGTTTTCCCACAATACAGCCTATAAGGCAAATAAATGCCCAGATGTAGGATCAGAGGGGAGGAATGTGTACGATGTACTACTATTTAGGAGGGAGGGAATGTGTTACTGTATAGCAACGTGATACGAGCAAGGCTCTTCAGCTTTTACGGATATGCTTGTTCAATGTTAAGTTTATTTATCAAATTTATATAGCCGCGCATCTCACAAACACTGGGCGGCGTACAAGAAGTTACATGAATTTCTAGATCAAATAAAAACGGCAGACGGCATGACAAATTAAATCCTTGAGACTCATTATACATTTTGCTGAAGCCACCTTTTTCGATTTTGTAGACGTTTCAGGCTACAACCTCCTCATGTAACGGTAGGGAGTCTGAACGGCAAGACAACCCGAGAATCGAAAACATGGCTTGAATCTTGACTAAACTGGGTGGAATAAGTTCCAGCAGAGGTCTGGTAGTTAATACTTAACAGTTAATCCCTATTTGCATTTTATATTAATAATGTCAAAAGTTATTTTTTAAACGCTAGAATACGTTTTGCTACAGGAAAAAGATCACTACTGCACGGAGGAGGAGGGAGCAGGAAATGACAGCTATGAATAATGACAGGCACCAGCTGAGAAAATGGAAAGACTAGCAGGAAACCTACGGGGGGGGAGGGCGAGAGGGAAGGGGGCACTACCCCTGCGAGCGAGTCCACGTTGTACTTTCCCATTCTCGCTCTTCGCACGTCCACCACCTTTTTTGTGCTCGGAAGTTAAAAGCGCGGACCCTTTAAGAGCCTGCGCTTGCGCCCTGTCGGCTTTCCCCTTTTCTCCGCCAGCGCGGGGTGGGTGGGGGCGAAGGAAGCACGAACTCTCAAGAGGCAGCGAACGTGAAACGGAGGGGTGGGGGGAGATTTTGGCTCGCGTCACGTACCCTTTCCTCCCGCCGCGTCGCTGCTCGCGCGCGTTCGACGGGCGCGCACGAGATCGAAACGGCATGCACGCGTGCGCCGGCGCGCTCCCGCCCTTCGTGCGTGTGCGCGATTCAATCCCTCCAGCCGCTGTCGCGGGAACGCCGCCGCCGCCGCCAACCCGCCTCAGTCAGTCTCTCAGCCAGCCCTGAGAGGGAGAAAGGGAAGGCGAGGGAGCGGGCGGGATTATTATGGGCTGTGGGTGCTGCTGTTGCTGAGGCTGAGCAAAGATGGAGCTGTCTGCAGTGGGCGAGCGAGTCTTTGCGGCCGAATCCATCATCAAGCGGCGGATCCGAAAGGTGAGTTAAGGGCCGGCGGGGCTCGGCTTGGGGCCGCTGCCGTTGCCACCTCTCTAACCCGCTCCCCTTTCTTCTCCCTTCCCCTTTTCCGCTCTCCCGCCCTCCCTCCTTTCCGCCCACGTCTTTTGCAGGGACGCATCGAATACCTGGTGAAATGGAAAGGCTGGGCCATCAAGTGAGTTCTGCCTTCCAGCCTCTCTGCGCGAAGCCCCGTTCCCGCCTCCTGGGGCCTGGCCGGGCTGGCGGCGTGCCTCCCTCCTCTCCCGGAGCCCAGACCCACGGGGCCAGTGGGTGGGTGGCTTTCTCCCCCTCTCCCGCTCCCCTCCCCCCCTGCAAACTCCTCGGTGCACATGAATACGGCGCTCACGCTCTCCTTATTTGCACCCCTTCTGTCCAACTGAATCTCTGCAGGTACAGCACTTGGGAACCCGAGGAGAATATCCTGGATTCTCGCTTGATTGCAGCCTTTGAGCAAAAGTGAGTTCGATTCTTGAAAACCAGAGGAGGAATTGCTGTGGCTTTATTTCCTGTAGTCAGGAAGTTAAAATATTTATTTGAGAAGGACATTCTCTTTCTATTTTTTCATGTTTGGGCCTTTTTTTAAAAAAGTGTTTAATTTCTTTTCCCCGTCTCACTAAGGGAACGTGAGCGTGAGCTTTATGGACCTAAGAAGAGAGGACCTAAGCCTAAAACTTTTCTGCTAAAGGTAACTTCTGTTTTAATAACTTGATTGTGATTAAGGTTCTTCGGAGTTCTGTTATCTAATACCTAAATGTTAAAAAGTGAGATTGGAAAGGAATAGATAGAAATGAAATGTCATGTACTTTTGTCTGGTGCTCCTGATTTCTTTTCGGTCTTCTTCATTGTGGTTGAAGGCAGTCTCTTAACTGATAAATCTGAAGAACTATATACTTGTTGAATGATGTGGTCAGTGTGATGACAAAACAGAACTTTTTTTCATTAAATCATACACTTCAGCTGTTAACCAATGGCTATAAACTATCCTTTTAATTTCTCAGTTTTTTTTTAAAAAATGACTTTATTTTGCATGTGATAGTTACTGTTTGATTTCAAAAAAGCGAAGAAGTCAACCCTAATTATCATTGAAAAGGAGACCACCAGAAAATCCCAGATTTTTAAAAATCCCAGAAAGAGGCAGTGGTAAATAATTTCTGTGTTGTTACCAAGAAAACTACATGGACATAATATGCCGGTAGAGTCACTACTGTGAGATGAACAGCTTTATAAATCATTTAAATAAATAACCAATGGTTTGTTAAACCAGCATAAGTTAGAGTCTTTACTATCTGTTCGAACATTCACAAGTTGTCACACTGTTCTGTTCCTGTTACATTGAAAGAAAAGTTGTGTGAACCATTTTTTAAATAAAAAACAAGCAAATGTTTTATTACTCTTTTTCACAGGATTGTATGAAAGGTTAAGAGATTTAATTTCTTAAGACAAAAATTTAATGAAGTGAAATAGTCTGGGTATACATAGCAACTCTGCAAATTGTATTTATTCTGGAGTTTTTTATTGTAACCTGGACCAGACAGTCTATTTAGAGCTACTACAGTTAGTAGTATCCAAAAACTTCAAAAGCCGTCTATTTTCTGAGATTTTTTCAAAGGAAGTGGCAAAAATTTATGTGTATCTGTGTTTTAATTCCCTTTCAGTATTTTTAAGGGATTGAACGCTACTTGAGAAGCAGGGCAACTCTTTTGTTACATACTTTCAGCTCTGTTTTATTATAAAAAGGCTTATGTGAATTTGGGAAACTTGGATAAAATAAATCTTGGAAAATACGGGAGGTTTGCAAAGTTGGTATTTTTTTAGTTCAGAAAGAGATCTGTCATAGGCCAGACAAATTTTAAGTATCAAAAGTATATATTTGTATTTCCTCAGGACTAGAAAAATCCTGATTTACCTGAATAGCTAATATTGTGATGCCAGAGTCTAATAATTTGGAGGGAAAATTGAAATCCTTTTCTCAGTGAAGAATGTAATGAATTTTTTCCAGGATTTGCAATGATGCTTAGTCTGGGTTTTGTTTCATAAGTACTTAACAGATGTGGTAATTGATTTAACTTGAACATTAACTGGTTGCTTTTACAATCTTAATTGTATATGCTAATAATCTGTGGCCTTTCTAGTATGTATAGTATTAAGTAGAGAAGGTCAGTCTAAAAGATGAATGATTGCTGCTCAGTGTGATACAATGTTTTAGAACCAGAAATGGCATCTTTGCAAATCCTGGAAAAGTTGTTACATTGTTCAGTTTTGCAGGTGTCAATTCATTTGCAAGTGATTAGGCATCATAATAGAAGGTTGTATTTAATCTGTGTATGGGCTGCTTGCTAGTCATCCATGCATCAAAGAGTCTAAATATGTTTTTATTGAAATCAAAAAAGTTTCCAGATCTTATATTTGTAGCAAACTGCCTATATTCCTAATAATTTTGTATGAAGTAAATAAATTACATTTTAATGGTTAAATATTTTTACTTTAAATCCTGCTTCTTGTTTAATAGTGTCTTTATCCAGATCTGATAATGTTTTCAATGGGTATTGGTACATTAGTAGTATTTATTTATTTATATCCTGTCTCTCTTCTCTAGTGAGTAGTCAAGATCACTAATTTCTTTGAATGGTCTGCATGAAAACTGTAGTGATGTCAAGATATAATTTTAGCTAGCAATATATTCAGAGAAAATCCTTGTCCTTTGAACTGTTAATTTTGTAAGCCTTTTCTTTGTATCGTTTAAATTTGGGCAGACTAATTTACACTACATTACAGGGCTCAAATGTATGCATCAAAATTAACTATCTAGTGTCAGTGTTTAGTAAACATAGAACCATGACTCTTTGTGTTCCTTAACTATCCTAGTATACTAAATTATAATTTAAACCCATAGAGTGAAAAAGGAAATATATTTCATACAGTCCTGTTGGGATTTCCCTGCTTGTAGACATATCATGTTTAGGTTAGACTAAGCTTAGGCAAAACTGCCCTGTTAATTTGGGGTTTACAAATAAGCTATATCTGAAATCCAGAACTCATTCCTCACTTCATCTCTTTAGGCTTTGTGTTTAAAATTGTGTTTCCAACTCTAAGGAGCCTAGACTTCAGTACATAGAATATATTGTATTCCAGTCTAACTTCATGTTTCTCATTTTATCCCACCCACTGCAGGCTCGGGCCCAAGCAGAGGCCCTACACATTGGGGATGTACATTTTTCTGTCAAGCCCGGTTCTAGCACATCCTCACCAAAACTGCACTCCAGTGCTGCAGTGCACCGGCTCAAGAAGGACATCCGAAGATGCCACCGTATGTCCCGGCGTCCATTGCCCCGCCCAGATCCACAGAACAGTGGAGTGGGTGGGAGCACTGGCATACGCCCTCCTGTCTCTCCTTTCTCAGAGACTGTACGTATCATCAACCGCAAAGTGAAGCCTCGTGAGCCCAAGCGTAGTCGTATTATTCTCAATCTGAAAGTCATTGATAAAAGTAGCAAAGCAGCAAGTGGGGGAGGAAGCTTGGCACGTCCTAAGATCCCTTCCCGAAATCGTGTAATTGGTAAGAGCAAGAAGTTTAGTGAGAGCATGCTTCGTAATCAGATCCGCCACATGAAATTTGGAAGCTTCCCTCTGTATAACAAGCCATCTGTCCCAGCCCCATCATTAGAGGGGAAGACAGAGGCAGGAGGTTCTCAAGGTGCTTCATGTGGACTCATGGGCTCTTCTGCCTATGATGCCCGCAGTTCCAGCTCCTCTGACTGCCCCTCACCAGCTCCACACTCCTCATCTGATCCAGATGATTCCCCACCAAAGCTGCTTCCTGAGATTCTAAATCCTGCCATTCCTGACTGGCGCGAATCTGAGGTCCTCGATCTGTCAATTCCACCTGAATCAGCAGTGACCAGTAAGCAGTCTCCTTCCAGAGGGAGTGGAGTAGGTCAGATCCCATCATCTCCATTGTCTTCTGACCCAGAGCAGGAGGCTGGTGATTGGCGACCTGAAATGTCTCCATGTTCTAATGTGGTGGTTACTGATGTCACCAGCAATCTATTAACGGTCACAATCAAGGAATTCTGCAATGCTGAAGATTTTGAAAAAGTGGCAGCAGCTGGAGGTGGTGGAGGAGGAGGCAGTAAATGAAGGGGTGCGTTCCTCTTTCACAAAAATTGGGGAAGGGGGATGGGACAGGGAGGCTGTACTGCAGGACCATGCATGGTATGAATGCTTGCTTTCTTCTCTTTTCTCCTTCTCATCTTTCTCTTTTTGCTTGGAAATTAAGTTGATAGAGGAATGGAAATAGATGTGTTTGAAATTCTCCAATGTCACACTGCTAGGAGTCATGCTGGGAAATAAATTTTCCTTTTGTGTGTATGTGGAGATCTTCAAAGATTACATCTTACTGAGTGGAGCCTGATAAATAACTTGGGAGAATGGTGGGCATATTAAGTGAAGAGTGTATTTTCCCCTCATGTTCAGAGAAAAAAGAAATTAAGCCTTTGGCCAAACTCAAAGGTAGAGAGTGCATATTTCATGAATTGCCACTTTATTCCTGTCACCTTTCTTGTATATCTCTGATTTGACTAAGATCATTTGGATTGACAATATCCTAGAAAAATGTCACTATAGTTAGGGGGAACTGCTACAAAACTTCATAGGGATTGGGTGTGCCCTAATCCTGCAGTGCACTTCTGAATACTGTTCCATTGTGCACATATTAGAGGTGCAAGTATGGTAATTCTGTAGCACTTTTAAACAGCTTAGGCCCACTTTCCCCCTTTCATCAGCTTTGAACCATATCTCTGTTAGTCCTGACTGCAGTTCATGTTGTATTTTTTTTTTACTGTTGTTAAGCTAGAGCTGCTTCAGCCTTATGAAGCTATTAATCTTACCTTGCATCATCTGTTTTGCTTCTTTACATATGAGATGCAATGGGGCCTAATTCTCTCTCAGAAAAGTGCAGTGAGATGAGGCCCACTATTCTTATTTACATTGGTAGATTTAGTTATATCTTAGTAGGGTAGGAAAAAGGTGTTTGCTTGTGGTTTTTCTTCTTTCTACTTCTCTCCTTCAAAGAGATGGAAGAACATTCATATCTGCAGTTCTCAAGATTTCAAGTTGCCTGTATAGTTGCCAACCAAAGGTGCTAAGAACCTATTGCAAACATTTATTATGTGTCTTTTGGATCTTGGTATGTTTGTTTGTTTGTTGGGAGACAGTACGTATGCTTAGTGTATGCTTGCCTCTCCCTCCCATCCACCTGCCTGCAATACCTTCCTTTCATTAATTCATTCTAACTGAAACCTAAGTACTCTGTCTTGAAAGCAAATAATGTGGTTGCTTTTGCTATATTGCCTCCACCTCCACCACCTATCAATGTTAATAACTATGACTCCATATATTGATGTCTAAAATTCACTGCAGTAGTAAATCATTTTTTTCAAATTTTTACTTCACAGTTCTTTTGTCATATGTTCCAGCTTTGTTACAAACTTCTCCTCCCCTGTACTAAGCCTCTGATTTGTTACTAATAGCACACGTGGATATGTATGTAGTGTTGTCTGGCATACTATTTATACATTGTTACACTATGGTGGGAAGGATGTGTTTGAGGTAATTCTTAAGGGCTCAACTGCATGCTATGCTGTCACTGAAATAACTTAATGGTTCTTAATGGCATCTCTCTTTTCTATATTCCAGTCTGAAAAATTACCTTTTAAGATTCTGCTTAGTTTGTATTTTGTTTCATTTTGTTTTGTTTTTTAGAGTTTATTAGCAATGTATGTGAAGCCTGGTGCTGCAAATACTGTGGCATTTACTCCTTGATTGCTAAGGTTTTAAAAAGCAGTGTTTTAATCTTAGTGTCTCCATTAGAAAGGATTTCTTCACATCTTTCCTTCCGCTGTGTTTTCTTTTTAACATTCCTCTCTTTTCTTCATGGACTTTGCAGAATTCCACTTGTTTATATTCCTGCTTAAGAAGAAGTCAGGACTTTGTCAGAGACAGGACTGAGAGCTGATGTGTATTAGAATCCTAAATATCAGTGTCTGTACATAGATGCCTACCAAAAGCAAAATTTATGATGTTAAGCATTGTGTTGTTAGTTACAGTTTGAGTGCAGTCAGTATCGAAGAGATATTCAAGATTTGCTATTATCCAGTCATGCATTCTCTTTTGTGTCTTTTTTTTTTTTTAATGAGTGAAATTTACAATATGCGCAGGGTTATTACCTCCATGCTCCTCCCACTGATGTATAACTCCAAGGCTTTCTGTAATTCCACAGATGCATGCTTTGGAATTAGCTGTTTGTAATTTTTTGTGAAATCAGTAAGACAGGCTATATCATTGCATTGCCTCAGAAGAATAAGAGGCATTATCAGAGTTTATTTTAATGGATTCAAAGGTGGGTGGGCTGGGTTGGGTTGAGGATAGAGATATATAATAGGGAGAGAGCAGGGAGACTTGTATTAAAGAAAAGACTTTAAGAGAAAAAATAGAATTATTTTATGAAACTTCAAAAGGATATATTATAAAGGTGAATGAATACTAGTCAATCATGTTCTACAATTGTTTGGTATATTTTTGTGGTATTTTGTTTTGTCCACTGTTTGAAACAAATTAGATCATGATTGTAAAAAGGAATTTCAGTAGGAAACTCTTCACGTATTTTAGCATATGTTCTCTTGGTTGATTTCCTCTTGTTCCCTGGAGTCTCTTGTCACTTTAGTTTCTGTAAGTTTCCGTAGAATAAAGTTTTTACCTTTCTTAGAGGTATTATGAAAATGTAGCCCTTTAGAAATTGCTGATTTTAATGTAAAGCTCCTCCAAGTGCATCAAACAGAGCACAAGTTTTATTTGATTTTATTCCATCCAAAAAGAGACCAAGTACTAGAAACAGTGGAGTGTGGTGCATGGAAAAAGGGAAAGGAGGAGATGAAATAATCTCTCTTTTCTCTTTTATGACCATTTTAACATGAAGATATTGGGCATACTTTTTATGCGCTAAACACTTGCTCAGGAGGTATATCTACTTAAAACTAACATGTATGTGTTTACTGTGTCTTAAGACATAAAGTTTCCTCAGCACACCTTTGTTCTTTAGTGTGATACATGCGAAACAAATAATAAGAATTTCTTTCCTCATAACGTGTAAAGCATTCAAGAGAGAGGTTCCATTTGCTGAGTCAAAGGCTGAGACCTCTATAACTTATCACAAGCACCTGCTGCTTGAGTAGCAATTCCTCCATTGCTATAATTGCCACTGTAGCAAGTGTTTAAAAAATGGAAGCAGTAAATTAGGGGTGTAAAAATTGTGTTCCAAAAGCTGCATGTGACTGTCAACATCTCTTTTTCTGGGCCTTTTTCTTCATTTTAAGTGTTTTAAGGGACAAAATGATTGCTTTAAAACTCAACATACTAATACAGCACCTACTTTATTCCTGAACCCCTCCTCCCAAAAGGGACCTGGCCCCTCCCATTTCTGGATTGCTGTGTGTCACATGATAGCTCTTGAGTTAGTGGAAGTTGTGCACTCCATCACTCTGATTATTGGTCTTCAAATCCATTTGGAGGTAGCAACATTTGCGATTGGTAGATGTGGCTGGCTTTGCCTAGCTTGTGCTGATTACTTGAGACTTACCTGAAAATACCTAAAGAAGTGGCATTTGAGTAAAAAATTTTTGGCGGGTTGCTATTGAGCCAGTCTGGTAGAACAGAATCTGGTGCTGTGCTAATTGTTGGTTGCATTGCTATTATCTCTTCTATCTCATTACAACCAGCAAACTATTTTAAGATGCACTGGGCTAAGGTTGTGAACTAGAGTAACTAGTCCACAGAATTGTAAGGTATTTGAGCCAATTGGATGCAAAAACATATCTGCTGTTCAGACTGTAACTAGCCTCCTGGCAGCTTCTAACTAGCCTTGGGGGTTCTGTACTGTCAGCATTGTACCAACCTAGTTGCTTGCTCGCTCCCAGGGGCTTGAACATTTCTTCACATCAGAAAGAATCCTCTCCCTTGAGGGCAGGGGGAGACCAGTTGCGTGTAATACTGGAATGCAAGATTGTTCTTGCCTTAGATTGTTATTCCCTTTTTAATTTGGCACATGCTCTCTAAAAGCAAATTGTGTTGATCTTTTCTGTTAAAGGAAACCTTGTTCCATGATGCAGTCAAACCACTAGAGGGTAATGTAGAGCTATTGTTGTGTTTTAATGATTTGAGCTTTGTTTGTTACCTTGAATCTTAATTAATTTCTCCTCATATGACAGAGGATAAAAGACCTTCTATACATACACTCTGTGCAAAGATGCCATGTGAGTTGCATGTGTGGGTTTTCTTTGTGTCTGTGCCATGCTTGTGGCCCTTTTTGTTATTAGAGAGGAGAGTTTGATGGGGTGGGGGGTGAGAAAGAAGACTAGTTTTGCAAATAAAAGAAAAAAAGAAAAAAGGGAATGTTTTTTTAAAAAGAGACAAGATTTTTACAGACAGAGGAGGATAGAGATTTAAAAATATTAAATGCAGTAATTGCACAAATGTAGTGATATTAGCTGGTCCTTAAAGAAAAGAGTATTTTTTAGAATTGTGAGTGATAGAGAGGATGGCATTCAGATAATTTAAATTGGGAAGGAAGAGCAAAGAATGTGAGAAGAGAAGCAGCTTCTAACCTGAGGAAGCAAACCCTTATCTTAGAAAAAAAAATTCTTCCCTCTGTTACTCTTAACTTGATGGAGTGGGGAGAATGCTTCCTTCCATAGTTACGAAGCCAGAGTTCAGCCTTGTTCTGTTTGTCAGGCAGGACTATGTGGCATTTTATTATTAACTTGTTCATGCAAGTTATCAGTTATACTTCATGATGACCTACTGAATTGAATGGGACATGTTGCTGCTTTGTGGTTTTCAGTAAGATCTAGGATCTCTGACAAGCAAGAAGTATGTGTGTTTGATAGCTGTGAAGGAAGCGTACCCTTACAAGCTGGCAAAATTTTCAGTGATAAGTCAGTTCATTGATATTGAGGTTGGTATACCAGAAATTCTTTTTCTAACCAAATTCACTTTACATCTTTCATATTCATATAACCTAGATTTTTTCAAGTGTGTAGTAGCTTTCCTAAGTTAAGAGATATGATCAGGGCCTTCTTGAAGTAGGCAAACAC